GCTGCAAGATGGGTGAGGAGGTAATGCTTGGGAGGTAATGGGCTGGGTAGTGAAGAGGGACAGTTGGGGCCCAGCCTCCACTCACTATCCTTATTTAAATTTCCCTCACTGCTTTGCTAATTAATTTCCTGACCAGTCAAATTCCATATATGAAGAGATATCTATGTTTAGAGACAGGGGACAAGAGAGGGCTGGCTCATACTTGGAGGTTGAGTTTTTTTGAACACTTAAGTTTTCAAATTTTGAAGTAAGTTTAGACTTACAAAAGAGTTGCAAAAAAACTAGTACATAGAAACCCCATATACTCTATACCCAGCTTCCCTGTCTGTTAACATCTTACAAACCACAGACTATTCATCAAAACTAAGAAATTAACTTTGGCATAGTATGATTGACCAAAATATAAACTTTATTCAGATTTCCCCACTGATGTTCCCTTCTGTTCCAGAATCCAATCTAGGATCCCATACTGCATACAATTGTCATGTCTCCGTAGTTTCCTCCAATCATTCTTAGTCTTGCCTTGTCTTTTGTGACAATGATACTTTTGGAGAGTATTCTGTATGTCAGGTATTTTGAAGAATGTCTTTCAATTTGGGTTGCCCTGTTTTCCCATAAGTAGATTGGGAATGATCCATCCCTGGGTGTATATATGTGTATCTGTGCCCCTACTGTAGAATATCAGGGGGGTATATGTGTAAATATACTGGTGATACTGACCTTGCTTGGCTAAAATGGTATCTGTCAGAATTCTCTACTGAAACTTATTACTTTCCCCTTTGTAATTACTAAATATTCTGGGGCTATGCAAATACCCTGTTTCTGTTTAAAACTATGCTCTCTATTTTAGCATCCATAAATGGATCCTGCCTGCAGCAATGATTACTGTTGTGTTTAAAAAAAATTTTTTTTAATGTTTGTTTATTTCTGAGACAGAGCATGAGTGGGGGAGGGGCAGGGAGAGAGGGAGACACAGAATCAGAAGCAGGCTCCAGGCTCTGAGCTGCCAGCACAGAGCCTGACATGGGGCTTGAACTCACAGACCGTGAGATCATGACCTGAGCCGAAGTCAGACGGTCAACCCACTGAGTCACCCACGCGCCCCTACTGTTGTGTTTTAATGGTGATCTTCTATTTCCTTCATGCCTTCTACATTTATTGATTAGAATTCTTCTATAAGAAAGAATGGTCACTCCTGTATTCAGTTAGTTTTATCAGTATGAACTCATGGATATTTTATTCTTTGAGTTATAAACTAATGTATAGTTATTTTGTTGCTCAAGCTGTTCTAACTTTGGCTATTGGAAGTGCTTTCAGGTTAGCTTCTGTGACCTTTTGATAATGCTCCCTCCTTGCCCCTTCCTTTTTAAAATATAGCACATTCTGGCGCGCCTGGGTGGCTCAGTTGGTCAAGGATCCGACTTAGGCTCAGGTCATGATCTCACGATCCGTGAGTTCGAGCCCCACGTTGGGCTCTATGCTGACAGCTCAGAGCCTGGAGCCTGCTTCAGATTCTGTGTCTCCCTCTCTCTCTGCTCCTCCCCTGTTCATGCTTTCTCTCTCCCCTTCAGAAATAAAAACATTAAAATAGATAGGTAGGTAGGTAGGTAGGTAGGTAGATAGATAGATAGATAGATAGATAGCATATTCTAACTTTCTGGCACCCCCGATGCTCCAGGCTCGTCTTATATTTTCCCTGCCACAGCCCTAGAATAACCCATTCCTTCAAAGAGTCTGGTTCCTTTTATTGATATTTGGAGACCAAGATCTGGTTCTTCTAAAAATTTTTTCTGAACATGAGTTCATATTGATACTTCCAATCTTGCACCAGATTGGTGCTTCATTCTTGCCTTCCTCTTTCCTGATTTATAACTTCTTCCTCTGATGTGAGAAAATGGACTCTCATTATCAACAATATATTTACCTGCTTGTTCAACTCCAGTATACAAATAAAGTAGTGACAGACTTCCTAACCCATAACCTTGAAAGAAACAAATTTATAAACTAGAGAGCTTTGTTTGTATACAATTCTTTTTGTCTTCAGCCTTATCGTATAGAGTCGAAACACTATTTTCCAAGGTCAGCTCCTTTCTTCCCCATTTCCTTCCCCATTTCCCCATGTGATTTATCTGTAATACCAGTTAGACTCATTCATCACAGTGTACATTCTATCTTTCCCCCCATAAACTTGTTGCTTTTAAACAAATTTATATACAATAAAATTCACTTCTTTAGTGATGTATATTTCTACATTTTGACAAATGCATAAAATTATATGGCTAACACCACAGTTCCATGTAACAGTTCCGTCAACCAAAAACATTCCAAAGGCAACTGCAATTTAAATGCTGCTTTCTTAGCACCAACCAGGAGGTGGCAGGGTTTCTCTCTGAGAAGCAGCTTCACAAGGCAACTAAACCATCCAGCAATGCGTGCAAAGGGACAAAGGAAGGCAGTTCCCACCCCTCAGTACTCCTTGTGTCATCTTCTCCTGGCTATGGTTATAGGAGTTATGAAGTTAAGCTTCTTCCCTAAAACAGGAGAGTTTGGTTAGAAGGTCCAGAGTCTCATATTCCAACTAAATAAGCAGGATGAATCATCAGAGAGAACAGTCAAGAAGCCAACCATAAATATGCTTTGAGAAAATACAGTGAGGACAAAAAAGGGAGATGAGAAAACTGGAGACGAACACCAAATCAGATCAAAGTGGAGAGATGCTCACAGGCTCTCTCTTCAAGACGTTACTTGTTTGGCAGTGGTGGCTGGGAAACGTTTCTGTAAGAGGAAACGGCCAGTGTGGAAGGGAGAGGACTTCTAGCTAGAGGAAAGAACCTGAGCACAGGCAGGATAATACAAAGCATGCTTGAGGCACAGGAAGTAAATTCTGGACAGAAAAGGAGATTAGACACATAGCAGACAAAGTTAGTAACAATTTAAATGCTGTATTATAGGTATTTATCATCCAGTAAACACAGGGCATTCCAACATGCGAGTAGCTATGCCAATATGGTAGATGCTGTAAAGCAGCACGTTGTCTATACGGTTAGGTACCAGATCTGCCTGATTAATAATGAATTACAACTTAGTAATTATTATCCACATAATCACCACTAACTTATCTACTGGTAAGATATTTTACCTCTCCCAGCTGCATCTATAAACCGAGGGTAATATTTAATAATAGGTTTGTGCATATTCAATGAGACAATGCATAGAAAGTGCTGAAGAGTTTCTGATATACATAGTATCTGATAAATATTAGTATTATAAGTAAATTATAAATGACCTAAATTTATCTAAATGCCCTTTTTTAGAACTTTCTTACCTTTCTTCATGATAGGAAAGCTTTTATTTTTAAAAAAAATTTTTTTAATGTTTATTTATTTTTGAGAGAGACAGAGACAGAACGTGAGTGGGTTAGGGGCAGAGAGAGAGAGGGAGACACAGAAGCAGAAGCAGGCTCCAGGCTCTGAGCTGTCAGCACAGAGCCTGACGCGGGGCTCGAACTCACAAGCTGTGAGATCATGACCTGAACCGAAGTCGGACGCTCAACCGACTGAGCCACCCAGGCGCCCCGATAGGAAAGCTTTTAAAGGATTCTTCTGATCCCACATATAATTTAAAAAAACAAAAATAAAAACCAGTGTTAAGTATATCTGGTTGTCTGCACTTATTAATGAGACAAAACCAATTTGAACAGTTCACTAAATCTAACTCCCGCCCCAACACACTACTATTATGAACCCCTAGTACCTCGCTGAGTATTTTATATACGTTGTCATATTTAATCCTCTAGAGAATTCCCAAAAGGTTAAGTACTCACTATCACATGATTTTAAAGGTAAGACAATTGAGCATCAGACATAAAGCAAACTGCCCAAGGTCACAGAACTGATCTGTCACCAACCCCTGCCTCTATGCTTTCTACTGAACTGTACTATACTATATTGTCCACCCTCCATGAGAACGCTCCTAGAGTTTCTGACACTGGCCCTCTCCTCTTCTGTATCCAAGTTCTTTCCTTGGGTGGTTTTTACCCACCAACAAAATTTTACCACCTGATTGCAAACAGTTCCACAAACTTCTGCTTAAAGGCAGGACTTTTCACTTCAGTTCCTACATATCCACATTCCTTGGTGGACATTGTATGTGTCTTTCTCAGGTACCTCAAACAATGCACTGCCAAGGTCAACATTCTCCCCCACGCTGCTTTTTAGCCTGACTTTTTTTTCCTGGTAGGGCTGTTACTATTAATCCAAATCTTCAAGTTCAACTTCTGGTGCTGCCCAATATCCAGTACGTTATCAACTCCTATCAGGTAAGCTTCTCCCACGTCTCCCCATCTGTAACATTACTTTTTCTGCCCCTCCTTCAGATTCTTCACACCTTTCTTCCAGACTCTAAAAATTTTCTAGGTAGCCTTTCTGCTTTCCCCCACACCAATCCATTCTTTAAAGCCTGCCCCTTGGATTAATCCTCTTAGAAAATTGGTTTATTCATGTAATCTCAGGCCAATGGCTCTCAGAAAGCTTCCCCCCAAATCCCACATTCTTCACAAACCTGGATGCAGATTTCTGGGCATGCCTAACCTCTGAGTACACCATGATTCTAGCAAACAAAATGATATCACATGCAAGTGACATACTGCCTTCCTACTTTTTCATCCCAAATTCCTACTTCCTGTTATGCTCTGAAAGAAGAACTAGTGGAGTATATGAATCCCAGTTAGGACTTGATTGTTAATTGGGGTCTTGCCAAATGGAGCCTGTGAATTCATTCTCACAGAATCTGTAACATCTCACCAGTCTTTCTCCCCACCTAATCTGGGAAATCCCTGTAGGCAGGAGCTACACCAGACTCGTTTTTGGGTTATGAGTACATAGTACAACACCTGGCACACAGTGCAGGCTTGGGAAATAAATAACGCCAAGGCTTAATAGCTAACACTAAGATACAGTGATGGTTGAAGGGTGGGTAGTAGAGCCACAAGCACCACTCACCCTTCCGATTCATCCCCATCTGGAGGCATTTGAGCAGGCGGCAGTACTGGCACCTGTTCCTCTGCTTCCGAGACATGACACAGTTCTTGTCACGACTGCACCGATACACCCGCTTGTTGCAAATGCTCCGCTTGAAAAACCCTTTGCATCCCTCACAGGAGATGATTCCATAGTGCAATCCTGTGGCACGGTCCCCACAAATGAGACAGGTTCGTTGTTCAGCCCGATCATCTGGAACAGAAACTGAACAGATTCAAGTTAGAACACATGGAAATAATGGCTTTAAGCCTGCAGTCCTAAAATAAGCAACCCTGCTCTGGGCAGATCAAGAATATCACTCTTTCCAGGCTGACTGGCAAACAGGGGGCATCTTTAGAGCCTTTGTCTTAGGAACAGATCCTTACATCTACCTGCAGATAACACAAATATAGCCTATCTAAAAAATAACTCATGCTCATGCTCCTCCTCCTGGGTTTCATCATGACTTAGACCAGTATCCAGGTCAGATACTTGGGAGATATCTTCGACTCCTCCCTCTCCTTAATGTTCCTCAGCCACAGCCCATTACTTCTACTCTGCAGAAAGGTAAGGATTACTGATACTGTATGTAAGTGCCCAGCATAGGGCATACATCCATTAAAGCAAAGTTGTAATTTTTAACCAGTGAAGAAGTTTTAACCATGCCCAGCCAACCAACCAGTCATCCATCCATTCAACAGATATTAGGCAGCTCTTCTAGTCTAGGCACTATTGTAAGGCATGGATACAGCAGTGAATAAAAGTCCCTGCTGAAGCTTACGTTCTAGCAGAATATCTACTCTGTGTCCAGGCCCTGTGTTCCGTACTGGGTATTCAGAAATAAATCATCATGTTCCTGATAGTCAAGGAACTTACTGCCTAGCAACAAACAAGTTAGTCGAAGAGGAAATTCAGGCTGGATATATAGCTCTCAACTTCCTCTTCCATCAAATTCACTTGCTTAGGACCAAGCAACTGCTAAAGAACAGCCATATGACAAAAAAAAGTGCTCTGGTGAACTGTGATATCAGATCTTGCTAGCAGGTGCAAGAAACCTCCAAGAAAAGGTTTTGATCAGGGGCCAAGAGATTTGAACCTCACTGCTGAGTAACAGGTAAGATACAATGATTAAGAACACAGCCTTTAGAGTTGGAGATCCTTATTTAAACTGAAGTTCTGACACTTACTAGCTGACTGAACTTGGGAAAATTAAGTTATTTCATCTATCTGAATCTAGTTTCTCTCATCTGTAAAATGGGGGTTATAATGGTACATACATATCATAGATAAAATACTCAGCACGATGCCTGGGCTGCAATGGACATTTAATAAATGACAGCTACTATTTTTATTATCATTATCCTAACAGGCCCACACTTCATGTGATAATAACATTCCTGAAAACAAAAGCATTTGAAAGCAATGTTAAAGAATGTTAAATGGCAGTATGTGTAGGAGAGATGTAAAGAAGAAAGGATACTAGCATTTAGGCAACTTTATTACATGCCAACTTAGAGATGTCTTTATGATCCCTATTTGTAGTAGGCTGGATAATGGCCACCCAAATATATCAGGTCCTAATCCCTGAAACCTGTAAATCTTACCTTGTAAGGAAAAGCGGGCTTTGTGGATGTGATCAAATAAGGATCTTGAGATGGGAGATTATTCTGGCTTATATAGGTGGGCCCTACTTGCAATCACACATGACTTTATAAAGAGAAAGACAGAGGGAGATTTGATATAGACAGAGGGGGATTTGATATAGCAGAAGAGGACACACACGCATGCACGCACACGTGCACAGAGGAGAAGGCAATGTGAAGACAGGTGGAAGGTGGACACAAGGAATGGCTGCCACTACAAGTTGGATGAGGCAAGAAATGAATTCTCCCCTAAAGCCTCTGGAGTAAGTGTGGCTCTGCCCACCTTCATTTCTACCCAGTGATACTGATGATTTTTGAACTTCTGATTCCCTAACTGTGAGAAAATAAATTTCCGTTGTTTCAAGCCACCCAGTTTGTGTAATTTTTAACAGCAGCACAGGAAACTAATACACAATATTTTTTCCATACAGGGAAACATATATTAAGGCTCTTGCCAAAGAACACAGCAAATAGCAGGTATGCAGAGAGAACCATCAGATACATGACCACACGGCTAGGGAAATAGAGAAAGACAGATATGGAAAGAAGAATCACCTAGGTTCTTGAGGACTCTATTTTGTAATTACAGAATTTTCTAAGCCTTTCTTTTTTCACATTTTTCTTTAACATTTATTTATTTTTGAGAGAGACAGAGACAGAGTGCAAGCAGGGGAGGGGCAGAGATGGGGAAACAGAATCCGAAGCAGACTCCAGGCTCAGAGCTGTCAGCACAGAGCCTGACGTGGGATTTGAACTCACGAACCATGAGATCATGACCTGAGCCAAAGTTGGCCACTTAACCAACTGAGCCACCAAGGCGTCCCACAGAACTTTCCAAGCTTTTCTAAGGCTTGGATGAACTTCCCAACTGTGGGCAAACTGACATACCATGACAAACTCACATTTATGTCTTGGAATACATACTTTGTTTTCTTTTTAATTGGTCAAGCTAACTTAAATGGGTTTTTGTTACATGCAGCTAAAAGAAACTTGGTTAAAATGCTCTATAAAAATGGCCCTGGTGTAATAAGTATTCTTTTTCTTTTCCTTTTTTTCTTTTTTTAATTTTTAATGTTTATTCATTTTTAAGATACAGAGAGATAGAGCACAGTAGGGTGGGTCAGAGAGAGAGGGACACACAGAATCTGAAGCAGGCTCCAGGCTCTGAGCTGTCAGCACAGAGCCTGATGCGAGGCTCGAACTCACGAACCGTGAGATCATGACCTGAGCTAAAGTCAGACGCTCAACTGACTGAGCCACCCAGGCGCCCCATCTTTTCCTCTTTTAAAAATGCAAAAGAAATTCAAGGTAAACGTTAGAGTAAAGTTACAACAGAAAATTTAAAAACTAAACCAGAAAAAGCCAAAAAGGCAAAATGAATGATAGGACAATAGTACTATGTGTGGGATGGGATTCCCTAGAGTGCCGGGCTTGAGTTGCTGAAAGGGCTTAGAAACAGAACATAGAATACTGTGAAAAAATCATGACTGGATACAGAGAACCTAAATTTTCTCACTTTAAATTCAAACCTTCAATATTATATTTATATATGCATGATATCACATTCTATCATATATATGATATATATCATACATAAACACACATTAAAATGTAAACCAGGGGCGCCTGGGTGGCTCAGTCGGTTAAGCGGCCGACTTCGGCTCAGGTCATGATCTCACGGTTCGTGAGTTCGAGCCCCGCGTCAGGCTCTGTGCTGACAGCTCAGAGCCTGGAGCCTGCTTCCGATTCTGTGTCTCCCTCTCTCTCTGACCCTCCGCTGTTCATGCTCTGTCTCTGTCTCAAAAATAAATAAACATTAAAAAAAAATAAAAATAAATAAAAATAAAATATAAACCAGAACTCTATCAGAATAGACTTAAAAAGAGTTATAATTAATCAATCTCTAGAAGAACCATACCATCCCTTTCTTCATGGATATGATTTCACTGAACACCGACCACAACTAAGCACTGTGCTTTGTGCCGTGTCACATAATTCTCATAATCCCAAAGGTGGATACAAGTGCTATCATCCTTTTGTAATTGAGAGAATGGAGATCTCAAAAAAAGTTAAGTAACTTGTCCATTTATGAGTTGACGACCCTCATCTGCTAGTATCAGAATTGGAGTTCAGTAGCCTCTTTAGAAAGCATTCGTATGGTACTCTGTGCAGCATCTGGATCCAG